TTTGGGCTCTGCCTTGTTGGCTGTGTTTAGCTGCTTATTATGTGCCCACGGTAGCTGTTTTCTGCCCTGATACAATGGATGGAGAAGAATTTCCCAGCACAGCAGCGTGGTTTTGGGCAGTGGCTTTTCTTTCCATTGCACTTGTCTTTGGCATCTGCCTGGTCCTGCCCTGGTCAGCAAGTACCTCTCTTGCCTGGACACCTGACAGAGGTGCAGGCTTTGAGACAGTCTGAGCTCTCGTATCTTTCTGCAGGTCTTTGTACGTCATGATGCACCCAGCTCTGTGTTCATTGTCTTTGACACGGAAAACAGGATATTTGGTCTGCCAAGGGAGCTGGTTGTAACTGTTGCAGGTAAAGTGACACTCTTGATCAAAGCTTGAGCTTTGCTTTCTGTACCGGTTCATGCTGTCAATGACCCTTCGCTGAACTGGAAAGTAGCCTGGGGACTTAAGCCATCTCCTGCTTTCCCTTCTGAACACGTGCTTCTCCTCGCAAACTGGTCTGACAACCCTTGGATCTGGTGATGCTGGGCTGGCGGGAGGGAGGGAGGGAGGAAGCAGAGAGTGTTGCAGGGGTCTGAAGGGTCCAGAATGGACTTCGAGATGCCTGGAATGGGGAGAGCCTGTCTGTGTGTAGAGCTGGGACCTAGGAGATCTTGCTTCTTCCCCGAGGTTTCTTTTGAGTGGTGTGATACCAGGTAAGCATTAAGAGGTTTTTTTTGTCAAGGTTGCAGCTGCTGGGGAGGCTAGAGTTTATACCCAGTGGTCTGCAGAGGAGCTCAGTGATGCTATCCTAGATTGCGAGCACAGAAAATAAAGCTAGTGCAGTGCTGCTCTGGGAGCAGCTCTCTTGCACGGCATGTTTTCTGTGGCCTAGGAGGAAGGAGCAGGGTCACAGTGAAGTGAGGAAAGTGTTTGTGACTGTAGAAGGGAAGAGAGATGGTGGGAAGCCCGTGAGTCTCTGGGGTGGGGGAACATGGCATTAACTTTAATATCTTCTTTCTGGTAGGTGCAAGTATGTCTGCTCTGGTCCTCACCGCCTGTATCATCTGGTGTGTCTGCTCGATTAAGTCCAACAGACACAAGGATGGCTTCCACCGCCTCCGGCAGCACCACGATGATTATGAGGACGAAATCCGCATGATGGCCACCGGCTCAAAGAAGTCCCTCCTGAGCCATGAATTCCAGGATGAAACAGACACTGAAGAAGAAACATTGTACTCCAGCAAACACTGACACCTCCCGGGCAGGAAAGGAGGTTGCCATGGACCAGACCCGGTGGCAGGGGGGGTGATCCCTGTGGTTCAGTTTTGAAACATTAGCTTGCAGGATGTGTCCTCCAGAGGTGTGGGTGGCAGCTCCCAACTTCCCTCTACTATTTGCTCTGTTCCTACGTACATGCAAATCCGTGGGTGTTGCAGGCTGTGTTTGGGCTAAGGACATGGCTTGTTTCGTTTTTACATCAAGATCTGGAGGTTCACGTGACATTGTTTGAAAGGCAACTTTCAGGGTGGCCCGCAGAGTTCCTAGCACTTCCCCAGCATCTCAACACAGTGTGCAGGTGGTGGGGAAGTGCCCCAAGACCTGCGTGGGGTCGTAGTTACAACACTCCATAGCAGTTTCTCTACCTGTTTTGATTTCATGTTTTCCACTCTGTGCTTGGGGGAAGCCAGGTCCTTCACTTGACTCCACGTTCTGCAGAGCAGCCCTCTGAAAAAGACTGTACTTGGTTCTCAGCTGCTCCCTTTGAGCCTTTCCCCACCATGAGATGCCGTGGCCCGCTGTGATCTGCAGTGGTTGTGGAGCGCCTCTGATGTGTTGCTAGTTCCAGGCAGTGACTTGGCATCCTGAAAGCTGGGGGAGATGACGTCCATTCTTGATGCGAGCTGGAGAAAGGAGCAAATGTCAGAGCTTCAGTGAACTCTGACAAAGTTCAGCGGCCTGCCAGCTCTGCGGTACTGCCGTTCCTGACTTCTGGGGAAGAAAGAAACTTTATCCCCACCACCCCTGGTTGCTTTTCGTTTGTGTAGTAGACTTGGCCTTTGGGGTCTTATGTTAGCGTTACAACAGCACAACATCTGAAAGAGCAACTGAAGGTTGTTCTAAGCAAATGGATAAACTGATTGGGGTGGATGCTGTAGAAAAGCAATCAGTTACTGACTCCACCGATCAGTTTTGCTCAAGTCCACCACTGTTCAGGAGGAAACAGTGAAATCTGACCACTGCTTTGTATTTGAGCATTATTGGAGCAGCAGGGAGAGGTCATGGGAGTATCCATGGCCCAACTTCAGTCTTAAATTTTGAAGGAAAGCTGCACCGTTTGCCATTGTCCACCTAATACCGTTTAGTGATCACAGCACTTTGGCAACACCCTCTCATCAAGCTCTGGTGATGGCAGGCATCAAATCAGCCTGCTGGCTTGGCTCTGTTCTGCTCCTACAGTGTCCTTGAAGTATGTAGCAAGAGCTCCACCTGCTTGTTTGTCTGCAGTCGTGTCCACTGCTGCGGGGGCCTGGGTGCAAGGTGCGAGGCAGGGCTGAACGGCTGTGCTGAAGGAGAAGGGAAAAGCAGCCAAATTCTGTTTTTTCTTCACTTGGCAGGGAGTTGGAAAGCGGAGCCGCAGCATGCATCCCCAAGACACATGAGATCTGTGGGGAGTAGAAGGGATGTCCAGAAGGGAAGAATGGCCGAAATGTTTGATTTCCAAAGCCTTTATGCATCTCTGACGTTCCTGTGCTTTCTGGGCAGAAGGCTGGGGTTAGAATAGGCACTTATTTTCTTGCTGCTCATTTTCTTTTTTAATTCTTGCCCCACTGACCCAAGCTCCGGGGTGCAGGAGCCTGGCACAGCAAAGTCTTAGGCACCTAGTTTGCCCTGAGCTGATCTGTTCTCCAGCAGCCTGGGGAGGTCCACTAGTGAAACCTGCACGTGGTGTCTATGGGGGGGTGTTTGCACACAAATGTATGACAGGGTCTGTTCTGCAGGCCTCTGGCCTGGTCCCCTTTGGGGAAACAGCGCAGCGGGTTCCCCGTTGAAGGCGGCTGGGCCCCATCACCTTGGGAAGGAGCTGTTCCTTGCCTTTGCGTGCGGTAGATGCCCTTCTGGAACCACGCGCCTGTGGCCGTGCTGCCACGCTGACCATCTCAGCAGCTGCGTGCTGATTTTGTGCAGCTATCTGGAGGGACAAAGATAACGCTTAGACCTCAGTATACCTTCTTCCCTGTTCCACGGGGAATTACACCGCAAGAAGCGCGTGATAAGATCTGGCTGGGGAGGTGTGCTGGGAACAGGGAGATGAGGCTGAGCGTTCCCTGGGCTCCTGTCCCGCATTGCTGTGGTGTGAAAGAGCTGCTCTCGTTGCCTCAGTTCTGCAGGAGCCATGAACATTCCTGTGCCTACTCCCAGCTCATCGTGCTGAGCAGGGGATGGGGTTTGGTCCTGGGCCGTGACCCTTTTCCATGTGTAATGGGCTGCAGCCCACCAGCACGCGATAGCATTAGCCCTGCCTAATGTCCGAACGCTTCCTGCTTCTGAGGGCTTTAACAAGAGACGCAGCTGGGGCTTTATGTTAAAGTTGAGTTTGCAAATGGCTCTTAGGGCTTTGTTTGGGCTTGCTTTGCTCTGGCAGCAGGTAACAGGCTGAGCTGGCCTTGCTTTGTCCCACTAGCAATAAGTCTCGTTAGGAATTGGCCCTTTCCCTCTGAGAGCGCGTTTTGCAATGAGCTTGGAGTAGGGGCATATTTTTAAGGTGAGTGGATTTGAGATGTTTTGCAAACGTGTGAGACTTTCCTACGCAGCAGGACCAGGTGGGGGGGCTGGCTCTCGCCCCGTGCTCGGAGCTGCAGCAAGTAAAGGCTGGGGGCTGTTTCTCGCCAGTTTTGGGAAGGCAGGCGCGGCCTCCCCTCGCCGTCAGGCTGTCCGTCCGTCCGTCCGTCCATCGCCCGTCCGTCCATTCCGCGGGACCCCCCCTGCCGCTTCTGGCGAGGAGCCGGTCCCCCGCGGGCGCTTGTCGGTCCGTGCACTGTGCCTTCAAATGTACATTTTTAAAAGGGACTTGAATCGCCTTCTCCTGGGAGCGGGGCGGCGTGAGGCGAGGCCTGGCTCTGCCCTTAGCCGGGCCCTCTGTTTTTTACCTGTATACTGAGATCCAATAATCTGTATAAAACTATTTTGATGTCCACCTGGGTTGTCTCGTTCTTCCTACAACGGGCAGCGGGGGCTGGGGGCTGGAAGGAGGACGCTGGGGGACCGGGCC